GCAGAAAAGCCACCTGTAATAAGAGGAGGTTCTAATGCTAAGCCTGTGCTAAATGCCTTACATGCGTTAACATGTTTAATCTTTAGAGCAAACCTATAAGCTTGGTAACAATATGCACCATCTAGAGATGACGACACTGAGGCTCAGTGAGTGTAACTTGCTTATGATTACCCTGCTAGAACTGTAGGGGCTAGAATTTGAGCACAGGCTTGTCTGCGAAAGCTCAAACCCTGTGTGCTTGGCCACCATGCTAAAGTCTTCTCAATCGCCTCCACGTTCAGCTGGAGAGAAAGAAAAGGTTTGTTGTGCACAGGTTTTCCAACCATGGCCACCACTTGACTTGGTGACGTGGTGCTGGCCTGTGGGAACTTTGGGATCACGAGCTATGACGTGCAGAAATGTGTGGCCTTGCAATCATGCTTCCAGTGTCAAAATCAAATCATCACAAGTTTCTTGAAGTTTTTCTCGCTCAAATACTGCTAGAGCTTTTAATACNAACCTTTGGAAGTGGCCTCGTATGAGTCTGTAGCTCAGGAGAGAGGCCTGTACTAGCAACGGACTTATGAGCCGTACATGTATGAAGTTTACAGTAGTGGACGAAGACGGCAAAACAACATCAAAAGAGGAGCAGGGAATAAAGTGACAATAAAAGCAGCCCTCAGGCAGAGCCCTAAAGGAGAGCAACATGTCCACTAAAGGTTTCAAACTCAGTGGTCAGAAACCCGCTGAGAGTCTGAAGGAAATGGCGACTCCATTTCTGACACGGTGGACGTGTACACGGGAGTTTGCATAAAATTTCAGGGAGATGCAGGGACCTCTTGGTGTTCACCAGCTGAAGACCTGTGATGTAGGAGAGGAAGGGCAGAACAGGATGCACTGGGAGACAACGGCCTGGAAGACGAGAGGAGAGACACAGGAGAGTGCACCGTGGGGGAGCGGTGGGTGCGACCAGCGGGAATGCAGCGCGGGGAGCAGCGCGGCCTTGCCCACCAGGTGGGGAGTTCTGAACTAGTCCTAGGACCAACATGCAGACAAGCGAAAGCTGTACACGGGGGAGTGACCTGATAGGACCTGCATGTTTTACAAGATCATACCGGCTGCCGGATGGTAGTGGGAGAGAACAGACATGCACCCATGATCGTGAGGACATGTCACTGTGAGCACACGTGCTGTGCACACCGAGCACTCAGTTTCTAGCTCTCCTTATCACTATATTGTTACCTCTCTGTCTTCTCACCACTCCAGATAATCTATGTGGCACGGAATGCCAAGGACACCGTGGTGTCCTACTACCATTTTCAAAGGATGAACGAAGATCTCCCTGACCCAGGAAGCTGGGACGAGTACTTTGAAACATTCCTGGCGGGCAAAGGTGAGCCAAGTGGGTGGAATCAGTCTTCACCTCTGTCTGCATCGGATAAGCTTTCCCCATAAAATTCTCCTTCTGTGGGAAATAAAATTCACCCACAGAAGTAGTTCAGATTATTTGGGAGGGAAGGACTAGAGGCAGCAACCTGAGAGATGTGGCATAGCCCTGGTTCCCTGTCATCTGTGGTCAGTGATTTGCTTCCAATTGCAATGTACCATCTGAATGAAGCCAAAACAGTACTGCAGAAAAGCCACCTGTAATAAGAGGAGGTTCTAATGCTAAGCCTGTGCTAAATGCTTTACATGCATTAACATGTTTAATCTTTAGAGCAAACCTA